TATTGCTGGGTCATATGGTAGGTAGATTTTCAGTCGCCTAAGTATTCTCCATACTGATTTCCATAATAGTTGCACCAGCCTGCAATTCCACCAGCAGAGAAGTAGGGTTCCTTTCCCCAACCCCTCACCCCTCGGCAACCTCGCCAGCAAGTGTTGTTGATAGTTTTCTGTATGTGCACCATTCTTACTGGAGTTCAGTGAAACCTCAGTGTTGTCTTTATTTGAATTTCTCTTATTGCCAGGGAATTTGAACACTTTTCATATGCTTGTTAGCCATTTGGGTTTGTTATCTTTTAATTTCATTTTCCATGAACTTTTTGAAGTGGCTAATATTCATGCAGCTCCGCAAAAGTCACTCAAGTCTTATTCTACCCTGAGTTGCCATAGACTGCTGAAGATTCATTACATTCATATATACATTCACATATGTCCTGCAAACTTTCATGTCTATCTTGCAAAATTCACCTTTTGTTTTCATGGATTTAAAAAAATACATTAAAAGAGGCCTAGCACAGTAGCATAGTGGCTAAAGTCCTTGCCTTGCACAAGCAAGGATCCCATATGGGTGCTGGTTCTAATCCTGGCAGCACCAGCTCCCATCCAGCTCCCTGCCTGTGGCTTGGGAAAGCAGTCGAGTATGGCCCAAAGCTTGGGACCCTGCACCCGTGTGGGAGATCTGGAGGAAGTTCCTGGCTCCTGGCTTTGGATTGGCTTAGCTCTGGCTGTTGCAGCCACTTGGGATGTAAATCAATGGACATAAAATCTTCCTCTCTGTCTCTCTTCCTCTTTGTATATCTGACTTTCCAATAAAAATAAAATAAATTTTTTAAAAATACATTTAAAAAAAGATAAAATGGCTATCTCTTGGGGTTTCAATAAATAATTCCATGGTGCTATATGACCCATGCTAACACTTTTTAAACTACAAAATGGTGCATGCCTGCCACATAGTGGGCATTCAATATATAAATAAACAACTGACCAATTTTAAGAAAACTTTAAAAAATGTTACTGTTTTGATAGGTAAGGAATGAAGACATCTTTGATATTTGAAACCTGTAATACTTTACTATTGAAGATGAATATATTTGATTTTAACTGATTTTCCCTTACCAAATTTTTCCTACCAAATCTTTTGTCAATTGACTACTGGAACCTTAATTTTATCAAATTATTATAATTGCAGTTTATTAGTGATACTTTTGTTCCTAAAATAAATATTATTAAATGTAGGAAATAATTCTCAAAATGACTTGTAATGACAAAAAGGAAGAGATCAAATATTAAAGGATGCCACCTAGTGGGAAAATTTGCTTTGACTTATCTCTGCAGATTAAAGGTTCCCAAATTTTAGCACCCCAAACTGCTACTTGCATAATCAAGTCCCTCTTCTGCCCGGTGCCTGGGGACGAGCTGTGTGTGCATGTGACAGTCCATGAAGTATACCCTTACTGGAAACTACGAAAATTCCGTTCCAGTTCATTGTCAATTTAACAACCCAGAGGTACATTGTGTTTTCCGTTTTCCTCAGATTTTCATCATGTTTACCAACTTTGTTGCTGACAGCGTTCTTTAAATATAGGCTCACCATTTCATTTGTATTGTTGGATTTAATTTGCTCAGAACTATAACGTAGACACTATTACTATCCCCTTTTGCAGGTGAGAAGATTGAGAAGAGTTAACTAACTTCCCCAAAGTCACATAGTTAATATTGTCATTGAGCCTGGAACCTATCAAGCAGTTATGGTATGTATACCCAAGCCTCGGTGACAGGGTGGCAGCAGAAGTCATAGACACTTGGATAGCATAATGGCACTGACATTTGTCTGAAAGACCAATTTCAGCCCTGCAATCTACTGTAACCTCCTATTAGTCTACTATAGTACATGAAGGAATGAGTCTTACTCCTTAGCCAAGCAGGCTGATTAGGACATTTTGCAATGATACTCTACAACCTAACAGGCACACAGTTTGAACTATTCTGGTCACACATTCAGTTGTTCTTTACATGTTAGTTGTTGATTTCCGGTGTTATAAATTCAAGAATGTCTTCAACTCTTTGCTGTTATTTTTTGTTCTTTCCCCAAATACAAAGTAATCTGTCTGAAAGCTTCCACCTGGAACTAATTTATTTATAAGTGTTAGAAAATCCAGTTGATAGAGATCTGTCAAGCAGGCTGAGGCTAAGAAAATTCGCATAAAACCTGGGTGCCTGATCCTACCCCACCAGGCCAACACGGTATCTGCAGAAGTGAAAGCCTACTTCACTCTGCCTGAAACATAACCTGTAGTTCACCTTCTCCCGTAGGGCCAAACGATCAGGTAACTTCAAATAAAAAATTAATTCTTGCTACTTCTCTACCAGGAAATAGAGTGTAAGTAAGGTAGAAATATGCCTACCAACCAATCCATTCTCTAGTTCATTAGAACTTGAATGTTATGAATGGGAAAGATTTCTCTGTGGCAGAGGGAGGGCTTGGCAACCAGGGGCTTTCATTATCTCTTGGTGATTCACCTGCCCAGAGAAGTCTCCTGTTCTTTTTTAACAGGATGAAAAAACAATACAAACACTTTTACCTTGCTGAGGAGGAGAACACTGAAAACACAAGTTTGTATTTGTACCTGCATATCCCTCACGCTCTTGTTCCATTCCCCAGGAATGCAAGGTATGAGATGATTTTTTTTAAAGTAAATATGCAGAAAAACAATAGGAAAAAAAATCCACGGAATTGGGAAGAACAGATGAAACAAAAATAACAGTTGATAACACTAATTCGTACACTTTTTAAAATGCCATTTACATGGGGCCTGGCAGTGTGGCCTAGCAGCTAAAGTCCTCACCTTGAACGCGCCGGGATCCAATATGGGCGCCAGTTCTAATCCCAGCAGCTCCACTTCCCATTCAGCTCCCTGCTTGTGGCCTGGGAAAGCAGTTGAGGATGGCCCAATGCTTTGGGACCCTGCACCCGTGTGAGAGGCCCAGAAGAGGTTCCTGGATCCTGGGTTTGGATCGGTGCAGTACCGGCCGTTGCACGCACAGGGGAATGAACCATCGGACAGAAGATCTTCCTCTCTGTCTCTCCTCCTCTCTGAATATCTGACTTTGCAATAAACAAATAAATTTTTTAAAAAAATGCCATTTACATGATACTATTACTGTAACCTCTACCTTGAGAGGAATTCACGAAAGAGTTAGAATTATTAGTCTTGTCCATACAAAAGGAAACTGATCAGCTTAGCTACTACCTAGAATTATCCAGGTAGCAAACTGTGGACATGGAACCAAGCTGTTGGGTGCCAGGAGACCAAGTTCCCATCCATCGCACTATCAGAACACACTTCACTTCTTAGGAGAGTTAGAAGAGGTAAAACTGGGATCAAAAAGGCTAAACAGCATTTGCCTGACCACAGTTAGGTTCCTTGTGACCATGAACATCACTTAGAGAAGTAAGCTTTATAATTTTTAAGAAACTGAGTTCGCCACAATTGCATCACCCAGAGTAGCTCCAAGGTTTTTCCTTCTGACTCATTTTTACTTCAAAGCCCTGAAACTTCCAAAGCCCCTGATGCTTTCAAAGTTGTTTTCCCTCACATTCCAAGCCAGAGATGTAATCTGTGGCCTCCCTGAACTAGCCCAAACCATAGCATACAGTGACATCTGGCCACAGATGACTCAGGAGGTAGTTAATTTTAGAGGTAAGGCCTCCATCCCAGGGGGAACCTTGCGTACCATAAAAAGCTATCTACAGGACAGCATGCTTTCAAGTCGTGCAAGCATAGGCTCATACCTCTGTGTAACCACAAAATGTCCCCTCTTGCATGGTCCCTCCCCACCCAGATCAGAGGTACCTGCTTCCTGGTGCTTGGGGAGGACACGACTCCCTGGGATCTCCTTCGCTGCCAATAGCAACTCCTCTGCACGAATCCTCCTGGTGGAGCTTCTGATTTCCAGTCCAAGCTTGAACCCACTGTGCATAAAGTAGCAACTGGTCCCACTATGAAAAACTGAATGTCTTGGAGGGTGACAGTCCTAAGTATTTATTTTCAGGGTGTTTTTTTTTTTTATTAATTAATTGGTGAATTTCCCACTCTGTCAATCCTCCAATGCCAATAGACAGAATTGGGTCAGGTTGAAGCCTAGAGCCTGGAGCTACCTCCTACTGTCCATGTGCGTGGCCAGGACTCAAAAACTAGTGCCACAATCTGCTGCTTTTCAGGGTGTGCATTAGCAGGAAACTCGAGTTGGAAAATGAGGCGGGTCTTAAGCTGGAACCCTCAAACTCCAGCCCCCCCCACCCCTTTTTTTAAATTGGAAAGGCAGATCAGATTTTACAGAGTGGAGAGACAGAAAGAAAGATCTTCCATCTGCTGAGCTGATCCAAAACCAGGACCCAGGAGCTTCTTCCGGGTCTCCTACACGGGTAAAGGGTTCCAAGGCTTTGTACCATCTTCTACTGCTTTCCCACGCTGCAAGCTGGATGGGAAGTGGAACAGGCCAGACAAGAACCCGCACCCATATGGGATCCTGGCGTTTGAAGGCAGGCAATGGAGCCATTACGAAGGGCCCAGGCTTTCTATTTTTCTTAATAATAAAGAGAGGAGAGAGAGAGAGAGAGAGAGAGAGAGAGAGAGAGAGAGAGAGAGAGAGAGAGAGAGAGAGAGAGAGAGAGAGTTTAGGAGAACCAAACAGGTCACAGAAGTCATGTAAAGTGAAAGATTTGCATGCAATCAATGAACTGCTGACATACCCAACGTGAATGTGTCTGAAACCTCAGGTGGAGATAAAGTCCCAGTTTAAAAGCGTGTAACTCTGGGATCGGACCACTAGCTTCCTGGAGAGAAGCAGCCTCCTGAAGCACACTTCCTAGGCCTAGTGCCATGGTCTCCCAGACGCCTCGAGGACCAGGTGGCGCTCCTGAGCGGACCCGGAACCAAAGCGCCGACCTCCCCGGGTTCCGCGGGCAGCATTTGCTTGCGCGCCGGAGGCGGGTGTCTGGTCGCCGGGGCCTGAGGCCCGAGGACGCGCCGAGTCACACCATGCTGAGCGCGACTCGGGGCAGGCTGGCTTCCGCACTGTGGGCGTCCCGGCTCGCCCGCAGGTACCTGCACGCGACGCGGCCGCGGTCCTCGGCGGGTCAGGGCGGGAGGACCGGGCAGCCGCCCAGCGCCTTCGACCCGGCGCTGCTGGACTTCCTGGTGTGCCCGCTGTCCAAGAAGCCGCTGAGGTGAGGGTCGCCGCCGCGGGAGGCCCTGCGGGTCAGCCCGCGTTCTCCGCTGCCATTTTCTGGCCGAGGGGAGAGGGTCCCGCACCTGCCAGGTCGGGGTGGCCGGTCCCGCAGGCGGGTCGCGGGCGGGCCAGCACGGCTTGGCTGGGGACCAGGCCTGGACGCAGGTCCCCTGGACAAGGTCGAGGTGATGGAAAGCATGGTGAAAGGGCCAGTCCTCGGCCTGGGTGTGCGGGCTGCCCACCGCACTAGCCGTGGGCCAGCGGGTGTTTGCAAAGCCTCCTATTCTTTAACCGTTTGGGGAAACAGCTTTGCGGCTCCTGAATGTGAGGACCGATTGTTGCCGGCAACATGTGACGGAGTGTGGCTGGGGGCGTTGGTGCAGCGCTGAGGCCCCAGCCCATATTGGAAGTTTTTGTTGAATGAGTGCCAAGTTCAAGTTCTGACTGTACCCGGATTCCTGCTTCCTGCTAACGTGCTAACTTGGGAGGACAAAGATGAAGGAGAGCCGGAGGGAGCTCGGCTCCTGGCTTCAGCCCTGCCTAGTCCTGCTGGGTGGGACGTCCAAGGAGTAAATGGGTGAATGAAGATCTGTCTCTGCCTTTCAATTAATTTTTTAAAAAAAATTAATATAAGTTATCTGTTAGCAGTTTTACTTTCATATTTTCTAGGTTTTTTTCTGTAATAAACATTCCATTTTAACGCATTGAAATCCCCATTTGATTTGCCTTTCAGCTCATTGTCTAATTAGCTCAGTGCACACTCACTGTTTCTAGTTTCCTCTTTCTGCTCTCTCATCTCATACTTTTACTTTGCATATTTAAATTTTGTTCTGTAATTCTTTTCTAATAGATGGCTTAAGTTTATTTGATGTTTATTCTTAAGTTGAGAAAGTTGAATTTTTCTCTACTTTATGTTCTAGTAGTTAATTAAGGAGCTGGTATGGGAGTTCACCAAAATAATAAAGAATATTTAGGTAAAAGGAGATCTTTTGTTACTGGCATTAAAAAATATTTAAAGTCATAACTTGAGAATAAAGTAAAAAGTGAATTGACTAAAAAGGGCACAACCATAGGGCCTAAGAATCTTGTAGGAGAAATGCTTGGATTGGCTGTTGCTGCTCAGGATTGCTCTGGGATGAATGCTTTTCTAAGAATTGGGTATTTGATGTTACTGAGCATCAAGCTCTCCCAGATCCCACTTTTCACAGTTCATCTTGTTCTCTTTCCTCCCTCAGATATGAAGCATCAACGAATGAATTGATTAATGAAGAATTGGGAATAGCCTATCCAATCATTGATGGGATTCCTAACATGATTCCACAGGCAGCAAGGATGACACATCAAAATAAGAAGCCAGAAGAAACAAAGCAGCAGTAGAAGAACATTCTTACAAGCCACAGCGGCCACATGCTCTTGAACAGCATATCCCTTTTGAAACCTGGTGGCAGGTAGTCAGTGGGAGGAGACAATGTTCCTTTCTCTTCCTACGCTCACCGTCCTCATCCCGCTGATTTCTCTGGCAGGACTTTTCTACTCGGCCTCTGTGGAGGAAGACTTCCCGCAGGGCTGCACCAGCACGAGCAGCCTCTGCTTCTACAGCCTGCTCCTGCCCATTACTATCCCAGTGTACGTGTTCTTCCACCTTTGGACCTGGATGGGAATTAAACTCTTCAGGCACAACTAGGGCCACCAGAGCCATGCTGCGTTCTGGGTGCTCGTCTCTGAACGTTCAGCTAGGTGCAAATGCTGGAGACCCATTTCCTCGGCAGCCAAGCTGCTTCTCCCTTCTCAGGAAGGAGCCTGCCAGAGACTACAGCTGCGGAAGCTGCTTCCATGGTCCTAGAGCTGAGGGCCGTAACTGGTGTCAGAAGGAGCATCTCCCCTTGCCATCGTCTCCCATCTCCTGATCGGTTCTCCCTGCATTTATCTGAAAGTCATTTGTAATTTTGTTTGTTTAGCTTCTGGGTTGCTGGGAAAGTCACATGGTAGGCATGACTGAAATAATCCCAAAGGACCTGTGTTGGTTGTAGAAAAAGGCATTTGAACTAAAACTGTGTAATGGAAATTTCATGTACTGAACAAAAATTCTGAGCTTGTAAATCTTTTTGGTACCAAATGCTTATATAATTACTAATAAAATAAGATGCTAATTTACCATTAAACAGTTTGCTGGATTTCTTAAGAGAGAGAAAATGAACATTCTCTAAATATTTACTGTCCTCAGAGGCACTTAATACACCAAAAAGACTTATTTTCTGGAAAAGTAGGAGCTCTTGGCAAATAGCCAATTGTGTCTTGTTGAGTGTAGATCCATGTTTTGAGCCACATTTTTTTTCCACTAAAGATTTATTTATTTTACTTGAAAGAGTTACAGAGAGGGAGAGAGATCTTCTATTAGCTGGTTTATTCCTGAAATGGCTGCAATGGCCAGAGCTGGGCTGAACCAAAGCCAGGAAACTCCTCTGAGTTTCCCAAGTGAGTGCAAGGGCCCAAAGGTCTCTGACCATGCTCCACTGTTTTTCCAGGCCACTAGCAGGGAGCTGGGTCAGAACTGGAGCAGTCTAGGACTCGCACTGGCACTCATGTGGGATGCCAGCACCACAGGTGGAAGACAAGCTTACTGAGATTACATTGACATTTTTTTTCTGTCATAGAAGTTATTACTGAAATATTTATGCTATAGTTCTGAAATACTGTACCATGCTCAATCATCTTGGAAGTTCTGGAATATTAGGATCTGTGAATATTAAATGCTATTGCCTTGGGAATGCTAACTAAACATTAGTTGATTCCTATTAGAATCTTAAGAATTATTTGGGAGAGGTTTCAGACAGCAATTCTAACTCATTAACAGGAAATGTGATATTGATACATTTTTGTGGAATTATAACTATCAGTGGGTTTGTAATATGTAATAATAGCATAGAAAGTATAAAAGGAATAGAGACATATAAAAGAAATGTTTCAGTACCTCACTGGCACACTTATGAACATGCAGAGTTTTAGATCTCGTAGGTCTTGGTGAGAATATAAAATGCTGAAACTTCTTTGGGAAACAGCTGACAATCCCTAAAAGATTAAACATAGAGTTACCATATGATACCACTATTGCATTTCTAGGTATATACATCCAAGAGAAGTGAAAACACATCTCCACAAAAATTGAGATGCGAACATTCACAGAAGTATCAGCCATAGCAGTGAAAAAAATGGTGATGGAAAGTGGGAACAACACAGATGTTTGTTAACTGATGTGTATTAGATAAAATGTTATATGAACACCAATGAAATGTGGGAAAAACAAAAAAAAAGGAAAGGAGGGAGTGTTTATGCTGAACACAGATGAAATTTGGTGTTAGGCAAAGAAAGAAGCTGGCTTTCAAAGATTATATATTGTTTGATTTCATTTACATAGAATGTCCATGATAAGCAAATTTAAGAGAATTCATAGCAGATTAGTGGCTACCCAAGGCATGAGAATAGTTACGGCCGAAAGGTACAGAGTTCTGGGTGATGTGAATATTCTAAAACTGATTATAGTGATGATTGTGTAATTCTGTGCATATACTAACACCTGTCCAATTGTACAATGTGCTTGGCTGAGTGACAGTAACCTCCCCCTCATCTTTGGAACACATATTCCAAAACCCCTGGTGGATGCCTGAAACCACGGAGGGACCTGCAATGGGATAGATCAAGTCTGACTGTGTCATAGGAGCTTGGGTCTCAGGTAGCAATGAGGTGGAGCTATGGAGAAATGGGGCCCATTGGGAAGTCAGTGGTGGCACTGCCCTCGGAACGAATGGAAGTGGTTCTCATGGCACCCTAGTTAGACCTCCTGAGAAGGCTGTTAGGAGAGACCCTTCCCCTTCTCTGACTCTGGCAATGTCACTCTACTTGCTTCACAATCCATGCCATTGTGATGCTATCTGAGCTAAGCCAATGCTTACGCAGTGCTCTCTAATCTCAGAAACAGGCTTGATTGGTATGATGGCTCAATGGCTAAATCCTCACCTTGCAAGTGTCAGGATCCCATCTATGTGCCAGTTTGTGTAAGAGCAGCTCCACTTCCCATCCAGCTCCCTGCTTGTGGCCTGAGAAAGCAGTAGAGGATGGCCCAAAACCTTGGGACCATGCACCTGTGTGGGAGACCCAGAATAAGCTCCTGGCTTTGGAACAGCTCAGCTCTGGCAGTTGTGGCAACTTTGAGAGTGAACCAGCAGATGGAAGATGGTTTCTCTTAAACAAACAAAAAGCCTGGTAGTATATAAGCCCCTTTCCTTTACACATTTCCAGCATTAGGTATTTAGGTGTCACAACAGAAAACTAAGATTGTACGTACTAATGCCCTACATGCAGTTTTTTTCTATACGTACTTTGATGAAGTTTAATGACTGCCTAAGTCATAGTCAGAGATAAGCAACAGGAATAAAAAAAGATGATAACTATATTATAATGAGAGTTATATGAACATAATCTCTCTTGAAAGAGTTAAGACAAATACATTTTTGGTCTGAATTGACTGTGAGTGACTGAAACAGCAGATAGTAAAACCAAGAATAGAGGAAGGCTACTGTATATGCATGTGAATTACAACTCACTAAAGCTGCTCCCCAAACCCAACCCATTTATAACAAAAGCAATATGGGAGGGTCCAGGCTAAGTTCAAGCTGCTGCTGAAAGAGGAGTGCTTGTTTTAACCCTGTCTACCCCAGGGTGCTGCTTCTGTTAGTGACCCATTTTCATGGGAATTCTGAAACAGATTCCCAGCATTTATCTCTCAGATTTTTCACTAGAAAATCATCCAGACTTCCTGTCTGTTCACTGGTATTCTGCCTTTCCAACTTCCGCCTACAGAGCTCATGCTACGTGCCACACCACTGACCCCAGCCACCTCCAGCAACTACATTTATAACCCACCATGATGAACACTTTCTTTCTACTAAGTGGAACTCCTTCTGATGCCTCAGTAATCACTTCATCGGTGTCAGGGTCCTGCTTGCTTCTGTACAGTCTCCTACAGGATCACCTTCTTAAGTGTCCTCCACAGCATCACGCACAGGGATTGCTAGGACCAGCTCACTGGTAAGATTGTTCCAGAAGGGGTCTGTTATGCTCTCAGCTCCATCTTCATTCACACTCAGTTCTGCAGAGGGCTGCTTCAAGAGACTCCTCGGAACTTCAGACTCTGCATCTCCAAGATAAAAGAAATGATGAGCTACCTGCATAACTTGAGGGAGGGTTTTTGTTTGCTTGTTTGTTAAGAATGTGATTTCCAAGAATTTATTTGATCATACTTTCAGGAGGCTCTAAAAACCTGAGTATTCAACGAGGACCCCAAATTATTGTAGGGTTTGATTATATTTTGAGAATGCAGTTTTATTCTTCATTGTGTGTCAGATTACCTTAATCAAATTAAATTGTAAGTCATACACTTGAACAATCTTTATATTAACAGGTATCCAAGTGTTTTAAAATTTTATTTTATTTAATTTTAATTGGAGTCAAATATACAGAGAGGAGGAGAGAAAGAAAGATCTTTCATTTGTTGATTCACTCCCTAAGTGGCTGCAATGGCTAGAGCTGCATTGATCCGAAGCCATAAACCAGAAGCATCTTCCGGGTCTCCCACGGGGGTGCAGGGTCCCAAGGCTTTGGGCTGTCCTCGATTGCTTTCCCAGGCCAGAAGCAGGGAGCTGGATGGGAAGTGGTGTTGCCAGGACAAGAACTGGTGCCCATATGGGATCCCAGCATGTGCAAAGCGAGAACTTTAACAACTAGGCTACTGCACCAGGCCTATATATATATATTCTTATATATTGTGTATATATATAATATATATCATATGTATAAGAGTATATATATATATAATATATGTATAAGAGTATATATATGTATATATTATACATACATATATATAATTGCATTCATGAAGATGAGTATGTTAAGCCAAAAACACAACCAGGAGGAACATGAGCAGCAAATCCAATTACAAAGAAAGTTATTCCTCAGAATTCACATGTTGTATTGTGTAAACCCATCCATCCTTTAGCTCCATTTTTGTTATCTATACCACTAGATAGTACTTTTTACCTACACTGTTTCCATTGTTAATCCCTATGTAGCACGGAGAAATTTCTCTATGTTCCCAAACACAACCTAGCGTGTCGCTGTCCAGGTGAGAGTTAAAAGGCTGTAGAAAATATGAAATTGACTAGCACAGCCAAGAGCCATGTGGCCCATCACTAGCATGTGTAGTGCAGAAGTCTTTCCTAGCACACATCTCAGGAAATGCTCCCTTTGAAGGCCACTGCTGTTCTTTCTTAAGGCCACTAGATGGCGATTTTCAATAACATATGGGACACAGGCAGCCACCAGCTCAGAATCAGAAACTAAGGACTGCTCTTAGAAAATGCTGAATGTGTTAGCCACATGCCCATCTGTTTAGCATCAGAATCCTCATCAACACTGCACACAGAGCATCAGGGAGGTAAGGCTGGGGCTGCACAGGGGGCATATCTCATTAGGTCTTGTTACTGGGTTTATCTGCCCAGAACAACAAAAAACACAAACAATAACAAAGCCCAGAAACCCTCTAAACCATGTACACAATTACAAAAATACTACCTGATTGGTGCAACAGGTTCTCATATTTGCAATCTGGTAGCCATTGTGACATGTAGAGGCAGAGAGCATAGCTTGTGTGAACAAGAAAATGAAGTTAAAATATGTGTCCTTTTAAAAAATTATTGTTTTTATTTGAGAGGGATAACTATAGAGTGAAAGAGAGACATAAAGACGTCTTTGATCCACTACTTCACTCCTCACACAGCTGCAATGGCTGGAGCTGAGCTGACTGAAGCCAGGAGTCAAGAGTTTCTTCTGGGTCTTTCACATGCGTACAGCAGCCCAAGGCCTTAAGGCATCTTCCACTGGTTTCCCAGGCCATTAACAGAAAGTTGGATCTGAAGTGGAACAACCGGGACACAAACTGGTGCCCACATGGAATGCCAGCACTGTAGACATAGGATTAGCTTACTACTCCAGCCCCTGAATTTAAGATGTCTTTAAGAAGCTACCTATTAGACACCAACGTTGTAGACTCTTTCATTCATAGGTGCCATGAAAACTTCCTCTCCTTAAAATTCTCTGAAGAACTCTG